CCCTAAACCCTAAACCCCTAGAGGCTTTGTGTCAAAAATCTAGGGTCCTGGAGTTGATTCTCAGGATCCTGCATGGCCACTTTTTTTTGTCGGTATGGACTAGGGTTTAGGGTTTAGGGTTTAGTTCTAGTATGGTAAGGTCATGCCGAATGTCTTAATACTATACTTCCTTATTAGGGGGAACCCGCAAAATGATATCCCTTAGTTCTGGGAAACCCTAAACACTATATATCCCTATATAACCCCTAGATATCCCCCTGCATAACCCCTATAGCCTGTAGTGCGTTAAAGGTACATCTAATATTGCAGCAAGTCTAGGGGGCCTCCAACTTGGAGTATTAATCATTCAGTGGACCACAATGCTAGCGACGATCTTCCAGAATGTGGCTCTATTGTTCCAAGGAAACTGCAGTTGGGCAGCTTACCCCGTGTAAGCCGTACATGTCCCTTGTATCTTCCTAAGTTCCACATGCAAGCCTTATATAAGCATTAGATAAGGGTACCCACCTGGGAATTCGCACCTTGACTGCTGTTTGGGTTTTGCCGTGTGTGTGTGTGTGATATGAGGAGTTGCAATTCGCTCAGGGACCGGGTGCAGGGTTGAGATGTTTGGAGCCATCAGCGGTGTGCTTGGTTCACGCCTTGTTGAGCCACAAGATTGCCTTCAACCGCTGTCACTCAAATGTGTGGTGGAAGCCATGAACCCTAAACCCTATACCTCAGACCGCAGATGTAAGCTGCATCGTCAACAAGTACTCCGCAGTACTAATTACTATGGAATACCGGCGCCAAGGCCCATAATGGGCAGCTGTCGTTTAAGAGGAGGTTTTGTAGTACTATTGGCGGCAGGGATTACACGCAGACCCCAAAGTTTCCATCTATTTACGTAGCAAAACTTAGGCCCCACCGAGATTCCTCAATGCTTAGCGTTTAGGATGTGAGGGTTTGGTAACGGTAGGCAGCTGGAGGCTACGTACATGGAGGGGGGGGGGGGGGTTGCCAACATATGGCTGCACTAAGAAGGCTACCCCAAAAGGGACCATGACGACGACTTAGCCATGTGAGTGCCTGGACCTTGGGGTTAAGGGTTTAGGATTTAGGGCTCTAGGGTCTAGGGTTCAGAATTTAGGGCTTAGGATTTAGGGTTTAGGATTGAGGGCTTAGGACTTAGGGTTTAGGATTCAGGGTTTCGGGTTAGGGTTTTAGGTTTAGGCTTGGAACCAAGCTGCCCGGCCCGGGTCCTCTTTCAGTTTGGCTTCCTGAGTCCCATTTTCCCTTTAACAAAGTTAGGATCTGCTTGAGGGGTGCCCTATAGTGAGGATTCTTATATTTTGGTTGTATAGAAGAAGGACACCACACCCCTTTGTGGAAAACCTCGACTGGAATATCGGTGAGAGTGTCCGTGAGTTATACGAGTGACCACACATATACACCTTACTGCACATGCTTCTAATGATTAGGCCGTGTCCGACAATTAGGGGTCCTCGTTTTGGTATTCCAACACTATGGTTTATAGTATATGGAGGGTTTTACTGGGGCCCCCCCAATTCATGCAAACTTCCATATTCTCCTAGGTTTCTGAGTTTATAAATACTATACAAATTTGCCTCTAACGTCTACCAATTCAGATATCACCCACATGGAGCCATTTTACCCTAAACCCTAAACCCTAAACCCTACACGAAGCAGGTTTCCTCAACACTGAACCTCAACAGTAAGCGGGGCTGGTACCTGGCTTATAGGGGATTATATGTATATTTGCTAACTCCCTTTGGAATATCAAGAGACTACTGGCTTGTACCTAGAAAGCCAGTAGCCCATACTTTTAATCTACTCTTCCCTAGGTTTCTTCCGATTTGGGATGAAGTAGCCCATTATCCGGGTTGTTGTTGCACAACATTCTACATTTTTATGCATACCTGGGACCAGTATAGATTAAACATGATCACCTTGCATGGTAATTCAACAAGAATCCACTTATATTGGGCAACTAATGTAGACCCATGGTTAATAAACAACTTCCTCTTACTAGGGAATATGATAGGGATCCTAATATTGATATGCTGAAGAGGAGGGGGTTTATTCGTCACGGGTCTACATCAGGCTTTCTATGTAGACCTAAGTTCTACATGCCACTCCGCGAGCCCTGGACCTTACAGAAAACCCTTAGCGTTTAGGGTTTAGGGTTTAGGGTCTAGAGTTTAGGGTTTAGGTTGGGGTTTAGGGTTCAGCATTTAGGGTTTAGAGTTTAGGGTTTAGAGCTTAGAATTTAGGGTTTAGAGTTAAGTGTTGGGGGTTTAGGTTTTCTACCTTGTGGCAGGCAACGGAATTTCCCTACCCCTTCATGTGGCGCCTTCGCAACTGAGCAGGCGAGTTGTTGGGCAAAGGGCCTTGGGTGCTTGGGTTTTTAGGGCTATAGCCCCCCTTAAGTAGATAGAATATGGGGTATCTGGGGATCTTCTTAAAATGTACTCAAAGCGATATTCTATCTACTTAGGGGGGACTATAGGATTGAAGGTTTGGGGCTCAGGGCATTGGGGTTTAGGGTCTAGGGCTTAGGGTTTACAGTTGAGGGTTGCGGGATAGGGCTTAGGGTTTCAGGTGTGGGTATTGGGGTTAACTTGGAGGTGAAGAGGACTGAGTAAGTGTAGGGTTGGGGTTGGGGGTTTACGGTTAGATATACTTTAAGACCCCTAGAACCTACATAAGAAGTCTACGTGTTGCCCTTTTTGAAATTACAACTTTCCACTACCCTTCACTCAGAGTTTGGGGTACAGGGGTGAGTTTCTAGGATGTATTCTTAGGGGTTAAAGAAAATGTTGGAAAGCATAGGGGAGATGACTGGGATCCTTGCGGGAGCTGCGCGGTATGCGGCTGAGAAATGCGCTGGGTAAGGAAGCAACCTTATCCTAACATACCCAAAGGGTCCATGTAGGTATATGGTATGTACTAGGGCCCAAATGGGCTCCCATGTACCTACTTTAAGGCCCAAGTGGATACCATATAGCTACACGGACCCTTTGGGATAAGGGTTGTGCTTGTTACCTTGGCGTTCAACCTAAGTAGAGAAAATTGTGGGGACGTGATATCCTATAATACTTTGCGATTACTTTGATGGATAGCAAGAGTGTCTGGTCATGTACCTGTCTTTTCTAAACCCAGTTTCGATGTTGTGTTCCAGGTGGTTCTCTTTCTGATTCTCCGTTGCTGGGGCAACCCTGGGCTCTAAATCCAATGGATTAATATCACTACATCCTACACCCTGAACCTTAAACTGTCAGAATGCACAACACTAGCCGCATCACTAGACTAAGTCTAAGCCCTAATCCCTAAACCTTGTCCTCTCACCCGGATTGCTTAAGCCGTTTCCGCGCATTACTAAGCTGGTCAGACACTGAAGAAACACGTCGCCCCTTTACACCCGCACTGGGTAAGATAGAGGATGTTGTCCCGCCACATTTTCGACCTCAGAACACGGGGTCCCGGTGTAAAACCCAAAGCCCCAGATCAAAACTCCTAGATCCTGACCTACGCCGCTATGCCCGTAAATCCTAAGCCCTTGACCCCGAAATCCTATATCCAGACCCCTAATCCTTTGACCCTAAACCCTACATCCTAAGCCGCCTTCAACATTAACCCCATTGCTTGCTTCAGGCGGCGGCTGCACTTCTGCTTTTCTGATGGAACTTCGCGGACGCGCCTGAAAAAGATGACCTTTTGCAGTTCCTGGGTTGCTGTTAAGGAACTTAAACTAAATTACCGTAATGGGTATATTACCGGGTATATCTTGCAATCAATAAGGTTTCCCCAATGTAGAAAC